ATTTAAAAATGTAACCAAAATTTAACCCAACAGTTGGGTTAGTCCATATTTGACCCAACATTGGGTTGAAACCACCCAGCATTTTTTAGAGTGTATGTTTATATGTTTTATGACATGTTTTTTTGTGAATTTATTATTTTTTTCCCTCCCCCAAAAGTAGTCCATAGGACTTAGAATGAGTAAAATATTTTCAGTGCTTAATAACTAGTGACTATCTAAACAAGACTTTAAATATAGAGCACAAGCCATCTTCTAGCCAGCTTTCATTCGCTTTCATTGCATGCTGTGCTAAATCTTCTGAATGTTGCATGAAAGAAGGAAAATTATATTTGGTGTAAATTATCCTATAAGTAATAATAACACCAGTATGCATCAGTCTGATAGCTATGTTTATATGTTTTTGCAAGAGTACTAAGCACTTAAATTTAAAGTCAACATGAATCTGAATTTCCAACACACTTCACTTTTTTTACTTGACTTGATTTTATCCACTGTAAATGATGAAAAGTGGATGTAACGAACCAGATCAGAGTGCAAGTTCACCGTCCTGGTTTACCTTCACTGCATGGTTTGGACTTTGGAGTTTGAACCGAAAGGCTCTTTCTCTGACCATAAGCCGGACACTGGCAGGAAACATCGCGGGTCTGCGGCTGTCAGACGGACGCAAACACACACAGCAATGAAGCAGCTCCTGATGGATGCATGCATGCAGGGATGGGCAGTATTTATGATGCATGTATTTCAAATATGTATTTCAAATATAAAATAGGATTTTCATTCGCAAACTGTTATATATTAAACTGTTGGTTACTTTAAACCTAACCTTCCTCTGGGAGATCACAGGGATATGTGAATATTTGATCTGTTAACTGGTTGCATATGTCAGATTTATTGCATGACTCGGGCAGAGAATAGCTGTTGCTATCAAACATTGTTAACTTAAGTCAGTGTAATGGTGAAGGAATAGATCAAATAGGCCAGTTGATGGAAGGTTTGCCAAGAAAGTTCATAAAGTATTTTTTAGTATTTTTAAAATACAAAAATACAGTAGTTTATTTTGATGCATGGTGTGGCTGCTGTATTTTGTAGTTTATTTTCATACAATTAAAATATTTGGTATTTTATTTTAAAATACATTTTGATGTATCTTTGCCCAACCCTGGGTGCATGCATGGATGAACGAACGCCCATCTACCCTCACAAAAACTACTCTATCTGATGTTAACAGCAATAACGCGTTGATATACCATAGTATTTTCAATTGCACTTTTTGTAAGGCTAGTTGCACTTACCTTCGCAGCTGGTGACGCACCGACGGTGTACACGGACGGAACGGCGGTCTCTGTCAAACACAGGACTTTAGCGAAGCCCATCTCGTGTTGCGTTAAATTCTGAAAGCATTCAGGCGTGAAATGCCGCGAGCACAAGCGCGAGTTCTCCGTCATTCCTCCTTCCTCGAAGTGTAAAAACTCAAGCCAGCGCGCGCGTAACCACGGTGCTTTAGGGATGGGAAACAACGTTTTAAGAGGAAAACATCCGAAAATGCATCTTTTCACCATCTCTAGCTAGGCCAGTTTTATGTGGCGTTGTGTGACAGGTTGAAGGGGCGTGGCTAGAACGCGGGTCGCTGGCTATTGGCTGAA